ATAAAAAGAAAAAACTATAGCTATTTCTGTCAGATTTTATAGTTTAATCATTCTTGCCTAAGTGCATAACCATAAAGTGTTAAATAAGAAACATTTGTGCGGAGTTAAAAGATTGTTTTAAAATCATAATTATTTGAACATGTGTTGAAATAAGGTTACAGGCAATCTTATAAAATATTCCCTAAATAAATTGACTTTTTTCTTAAATAAACAATTAACCGGCGTAAATTGAAATTAGATAGATTTTCTAGGATCGTTTATGTAAGTATTTTTATTATTATTTATAATAAATTGATTTTGTTGAAAGGATAAAAATCGAGTTTATCAATATACTGTTTTTTATGTTTGCCATAATGTGTCTTGCCGTTTACCATAACGGCCCTCCATACCCGTAACCATGCAGACAAAAATAATCTTTTTCTTCTTTAATTCCACAAACCCTTTCCAGTGCGAGTTGACAATTGCAACAAGCATTAATTTGTGCACATTTATGAGCAATAATTGAGATTCAAACAGGCTTAAATATCCCCGCAATCATTGGTTGCTGTGTTAAAAATGCAACTTCCGTTAAAAAAAGAGTGCTCGCATTATTAAACGCAACGGTAGAAAATTAATTAAAATTCAAAACATGAAAGCATGACAGTTTTTGTTCATTTTAATACCCACCATGACTTGCGGTTCCAGCACCTTGCATGTTATCGGATGAAACTGAGGGTATCCAAGGTAGGAAATATAGCGTAATTTCACTATAATAGTGAGATACCACTATTATAGCGGAATTTACGTTTCCCCCCAACCTGGTAAACATTTGTCTCTCTCTGTTATAAATACAAACCAGTAGAGCTACAGTCTCTACAGAGATGTCTAGTTATAATTTATAAACTGCTACTGTAAACATTTGTCTTTCTCTGTTATAAATACAAACCAGTAGAGCTACAGTCTCTACAGAGATGTCTAGTTATAAATTATAAACTGCTACTGTAAACATTTGTCTTTCTCTGTTATAAATACAAACCAGTAGAGCTACAGTCTCTACAGAGATGTCTAGTTATAAATTATAAACTGCTACTGTAAACATTTGTCTTTCTCTGTTATAAATACAAACCAGTAGAGCTACAACAGTCTCGTCAAAGACATCTGGTTATATATAAACCATGTCACAGTACGCAGTAGATCATATAGCTACATGTATGTATATAGAGTGTGTAATTTCAGAAAATGTATAATTTATACAGAACTATGACTTTATTCATGTAAGAAAGCTAGATCTATTGTAATGATAATTATTTTGTACATAATAAAGTTGAAATTCTGGACAATAAGTTCAATTTTATAGAAATGCAATATGATACGAATAAATATATATTTTTATTGATCTATAGAAATAGCAATTCTTCAAGTTACAATCTGTATATAGTTTTGTTCTGTTGAATAATTTGTAAATATTGATTTGTTAGACAGGTTGTGAACACTTGGAGGCTGCTATCTATTGAGACATCAAAAGGACTCAGTTCCCAATGTAAAGGTATTTATAAAAAAATTATATATATAGCAAAACTTGATTAGTACAAACACAGGGATATAGTGAATTCACGGATATAGTGAAGTTATCTTGGATCCCTACCCGTACGAAATTCAGAGACGTATTACGCCTGGATTTTTTTTTTCAAATCCTGGCCTACAAGAGACGAATTCTTAAAAATACGGTTCATTTTCAGGCGTACACGTATTTTTGCCAGAAATACGTCTCCTTTTTTCCAGGCGTAAATTCTAAATCCGGGCGAATTTTCTACTTAATCTCTTTGGCACAAGGAAATTAAAACTTGGAAAATTTCAAAAGGCGTATTTTTGAAAATACGGGTGCATTTTTCAACTTAGCCAAAAAACTTAATCAACTCATTCTCTTTTTTTAAAAGTATTGAGTTGCATAAGAAACATTTTAAAAATATATTATAACTAAAATAAAAAAAACAAAAGTATTGCATGATTGTATAAGTTAGTTTGTTGTATTAAATATCAAAGCAATTATTTTTCATAAATTAAACTGATTTTTTTCTTTTTGAACATTTTTTTTAACATTATCCCAAGGACCTGAAATTTTGTCATTCCCATTTTTTTTTTTTAAATTGATATTATTTTTCTTAACACAAACGATTTCTATAACTGTAAATTAGATAGTATATTCTTTGAACTTCATGATAATTGTTTAGTCAGGCTATAATTAAACATACATGTTTTCTTATAAAATGATTTATATTTGGTATATTTAGATACTCTATATTCCATTACCATCAACTTTCACTTCCTTAGCCTAACCTGCTGGGATTGTGCTAATTACTTACAGATGTTTTGAGCATGTTTAGGAACGACTTATCTGTGATGTTGTAAACCTAAGAACGGCTTATCAATTTATATCCGGTTTGTGTACAGCAGTTCTATTTCCCACCCTAGTATCTTTTTAATTCATATAATGAATACACCTTGTTTATACATCGATGGAATTTTATTTTTATGTTGTAGCTGTAAACAAAACAGCATTTTTCTTCAAAATTACAAATTGTACTGAGTAGAACTTCCAGAAATCATAAAAGAGTTAAACTAACTAGGGGGATGTAAACAACAGCATCTGCATCCAAGTATTTGCGCCAATTTTAAACCACCAGGCATGCAGGTCATGCCAAAAACAATGAGATTAGAGAAAGCCACAACAAAGCACAGATGGTGTAGAAGAGGTAAATATTTTGAAAAAATAGCTTAACATTGAAACTTTTTATGCGCCCGAATTTTTTCGGGGCGCATATTGTTTTTGTCCTGTCTGTTTGTCTGTTTGTCTGTTTATCTGATTGTCTGTTTGTCTGTTTGTCTGTTTGTCTGTCTGTTGTCAACTTTAACATTCGCCAAAACTTTTGAACCGTAAGAGATAGAGACTTCATATTTTGTATGCATACTCCTCTAATAAAGTTCTTTCAAATGACATAAAGGTCAATGACCTTGTGACCTTGACTGTGACTTATATGCTAAAAATAGAGGTTTTATTGCAAACTTTAACCTTTGCAATAATGTTTGAACCATAAAAGATAGAGACTTAATATTTGGCATGCATACTCCACTAATAAAGCCCTTTCAAATGACATCAAGGTCAATGACCTTGTGACCTTGACTGTGACAATTATGCTAAAAATAGGTTTTTCAACTGTTTGTCATAACTTTTGAACCATAAGAGATAGAGACTTCATGTTTGATGTACATACGCCACTAATCAAGTTCTTTCAAATGACACTAAGGTCAATGACAATGGCTGTTACCTATATGCTAAAAATAGCTTTTTCCACTTTTAGCCATAACTTTTGAACCATAGGAGATAGGGACTTCATATTTAGTATGCATACTCCACTAATAAAGTTCTTTCAAACAACTCAAGGTCAATGACCTTGTGACCTTGAATGTGACCTATATACTAAAAATAGCTTTTTCGAACTTTGTTGACGCCGGGCGCATAGTGTTTCACAAACACATCTTGTTATCTATGAAAATAAAAGACAGCTGCATTTGCTTTTGATTTGCAGAGCCAAATGTTAATGATTGAAAATTGGGTCAGTAGTATTTTGAATTACATAAATTATATTTTTTCCAGAAAATGATTTACATCTAAATCCTTATCACAGTTGGAAAATTGATTGAATGATGAAATGGTCATAAGAGGAGGAGAAGAGATCTTGCAATATTAAGAGTTGACCAGCAGCATAGCTTTCCATAAATGCAATTGCCAGTGAACTGCAGCCATTGGAAGATTGCATCAGGAAGAAGATGACCGTTTGCAATGCCAGTTATAAAACATTCAAACTTCTTTTTGTGAATATTTCAATTTATGAAAATGTGATTAGGGAATGTGATGTGAAACGTGAATGACAGAATTGCTTGAGATTTGCATCTTTTACGCTTTTTAGGAATAAAAAGAATGACAGGACTACTCGGCATGATTCTCAAAACTGTGATTCACTGTGATTATTGGAATGTTTCAACTGATAACTCAGACTTTGATGTTAAAATGCTGTGAAACGGTTATTATATTCTAATATGTAACTGTGCTTTGAAATAGTAAATGTAAGATTATGATTTTTAAAATTATAATGACAATCCTTTATTTGAATCTCATTCACATTTTATCACACTGAAAAATATTAAGAAAATAAAAGAAATGTATGCTAAGTTTAATTTGTGTAATCTTTTTTAGTATAAATAGTCAAAAAACTTTGTACTATAGTTGATTGTACATAAATATTCATGCTATAGTTGTAGCTCCCATTGCTGTAATATAATTAATATTTAATTCAAATCTATTTAAAGCAGGCGTATTTTTTTGTACAGGCGTATTTTTTTGTACGGGCATATTCTTTTATACGGGTGTATTTATTTTGCAGGCGTATTTTTAAGGGTATGCTTGAAATCTAGGCGTAATTCTATTTTTAAAATTTCCAGACGTATTTTGAATTTCCAGGCGTACTCATTTGCATATTTCGGCCAAAAATACGGGAGGATTACGCCTCGTGTACGCCTGTATTTTACATTATACACCTGGTTTTATATATTCATTTCAATAAAGATTTCCACAAGGATTTTTAGATTAAAATACGCCTGGATTTTTTTTAAAAAATACATGACTTAAATTTCGTTCGGGAAGCTATATGAATTTAAGGAATTCCTTATACAGATATAGTGAAGTAATTTTATTAGTCCTGTGACTTCGTTATAATTGAGTTTTACTGTAAAATTATATATCATGTTTATGTTTGTGTTTTAATTCTATTTAATGTTAATTTTTTTTTTTAAACCAGAACATTGAATCAGACAATGATACAAGAGTCAAGTATAAAGAGAGGTTTGTTATTGATGTAGAAAATTCTAGAACAGTGTTGTAATTTACAGAGAGATCTCCCTGACTGAAATCAACACCGGATTATAAAGTCACAGGAAAAAGAAATAAAAATCTGGTGTCAGTGATGGATAAATACGCGTTACAGAAATCTGTCACAGTGTCTGGTACTAGTCAGTGTCTTCACATTGCCCACGTGTCAACAGACCGGGTCTGGATCAGTGGTAATAAAGGCAATCTCATCTTAACAAACAAGACAGGTGTTACACTAGATCGTGTGACAGGTTTACCTGAATATGGTGGTGGAGTACATACTGTGAATAGTGATAGTGATGTAATTTATATAGACAGTCACGGTAACATCATTAAACTATCTACAGATCACAAAGTAAAGACCACAGTGATACCATACACATACCCATGGACACCTTGGAGTGTCTACAGCTCCCCCTCCACTGGAGACCTACTGGTCGGGATGTATAATACTGGTACAGTGACAGGCCAGGTACACCGTTACACTAACACTGGAGAACACATGCAGACCATACAGCACGACAACACAGGTCAGGGAATGTATAGTGATCCTCAATACATCACAGAGAACCGCAATGAAGATGTTATTGTGTCTGACTTTGGGCGTCACGCTGTAGTGGTGACAGACAGTAGAGGAAGACACCGCTTCACCTACACAGGTCCTACACCAGGATCACGACTAAATCCACACGGAATCTGTACTGACGCGCTGTCACACATCCTGGTGTGTGATTATTACACCTACACAGTACAAATCATTGACCAGGACGGTCTCTTTCTGACACAGATTGAGACAGAACAACACGGGATATACAAACCATGGAGCCTGAGTTATGATTGGGATACACAGCTTCACTGGGTTGGATCAGCCATCTACAACAAAGTAAACATTTACAGACTTATCAATGAAGGGGACGATCTGACTGGTGAGTTACATTCTTATATGATTGTGTGATTTATCTAATGATATTCTGTATGTACAGTAAAATAATATTAATATTAAATCTTTATATACTATTAAATACTTTTTTGTGTAAATACCAAACATTAAAATAATAAATGTATTAATATTACACATATGTTACATGTTTATCTAATTATACGTAATTTGTTACACAAAGTAACAAGAAATATTTCTAAGATAAAGATAAATTATCTTATAATTAATTTAAGTATAAATTGTAGTTTACCCATACATTTTTTGATCAGAATACTTTTAAACACATTTGCAAGGCAGGGTTTTCCAGGATGTCCATAGAAAAATTGAATCATATTATTGATAAATGTAAAGGTTTTTGAATCTTTTAAAAGATTATCTGGAATTAGATAATCTCCCGTTTAGAACTTAATCAGGTTTATATTACTGAGGCATATATAAATACATAGAAAGGTTTTGTTCACTCCTAGCAAAGAAAGACAACTCCAAAATAAAGAACTGTATTTCTTATCTATTTGAGAATGTAAATGACTTGAAAATTAATATGCCATTGGAATTTAAAAAAGAATAATGTATACATATACATGTAATACCTATATATTACTTATAATGTCATTTTAATATGTACTTACATGTAGTATATAAAGTATATATAGGATATGAAAAAATAATATGGTTAACATGGTTAAGAATTAAAAGTTTTCGGCTGAAATCTACTAAAAGTGTAAGAATCTTTAAGTCTCATGCGTTAATCTACTGACCTTTTGCTATTTGTTATATGACTTTTGTTCAGCATCATTAGTTGTCTATTAAAATTTAAATGTTTACAGCTTCTTCTCATAAACTGCTGAACGAATTTCAACCAATTTTGACATACATCATCTTGCAGAAGCAGGGGTTTTCCTACCATTTTTAAACTGGGTCCGGGGTCCGTAGAATTGGGAAAATTGACGCGAAATGCGTTCAAATTGGGAAAATTTTATAAAGGACCAATTTTGTTATTTTCCCATATAAATGAAAATGAGGGGACCAGAAGTGTATATAAACAATTGTAGACAGATATAGAGTTTCACATTATTTAGCTATTATTGGATGGTAAAAAAATGCAGGAAAAAAATGTTATATTGCAATACACATGTGTATTCATGTAAAAAAAAAAAATAATAAATGGATATCATATTTTTAATTGGATAATGAACAATTTCACAAAAAATATTTAGTTTTATTGATCATGACTGAAATAAGGGGAAAAAAATTAAGCGTTTTATTGGACATGTTGGATAATGGGAATTAATTTTCAGAATTTTTAAAAGTTTTTATTCATTCCATTCACAGCTGAAAATGTAAGTGAACATATTTTTAGCTCACCTGAGCCGAAGGCTAAAGTGAGCTTTTCTGATCACATTTTGTCCGTCGTCCGTCCGTCTGTCCGTCCGTCTGTAAACTTTTCACATTTTCGACTTCTTCACAAGAACCAATGGGCCAATTTTAACCAAACTTGATACAAAGCATCCTTGGGTTAAGGGAAGTTTAATTGTTAAAATGAAGGGCCAAGTCCCCTTACAAGGGGAGATAATCAAATAAAGACAAAAATAGAGTGGGGTCACTAAAAAATCTTCTTCTCAAGAACCACTGGGCCAGGAAAGCTGAAACTTATGTGGAAGCATCCTTGGGTAGTGTAGATATTAAATTGTTAAAATCACGACCCCTGGAGGTAAGGCGGGGCCACAATAGGGAATCCAAATTTTTACATAGAAATATATATAACAAATCTTTAAAATTCTTCTTCTCAAGAACCACTGGGCCAGGAAAGCTGAAACTTATGTGGAAGCATTCTTGGGTAGTGTAGATATTAAATTGTTAAAATTAATACTCCCGGGGGTAGGGCGGGACCACAATAGGGAATCCAAGTTTTACATAGAAATATATAGAACAAATCTTTAAAAATCTTCTTTCAAGAACCTCTGGGCCAGGAAAGCTGAAACTTATGTGGAAGCATCATTTATTAGTGTGGATATTAAATTATAAAAATCATGACCCCCGGGGGTAGGGCAGGGCCACAATAGGAAATCCAATTTTACATAGAAATATATAGAACAAATCTTTAAAAATCTGCATCAGTTTCTTATAGGAAGGGGGGGGGGTTCTATTGATTAAAGGGAGAAGATGTTTATTTAATTGAAATTTTTTTTTCTCAAAACCTGAATAGTAAAGAAACAAACTACAACAAACTAAGCGTATAGTAATGATGAGCGATCTCTAGTACTTCTTCTAAAATTGTCAATTGTAAGTTCCAAATTGGCTCAATTGTGTCAGGGATTCTAGTGTTAAAGTGAGGCTATGTTGACTTTATAGGGAAATAACTGTATTATTAACTTGAAATGCTATGCTCAATGGCAATTATACAGTATAAATTTGCAATTAGAAAAATTTTTTTTATTACAAGATTTTTGAAATTCTAGATTACATCATGTCCATGATCAGATGTTCTTGTTCTACATGTTCTAGGGCTGTATTAGTTTGCAAGAAAAAATACTTTGCTCTTTCCTTTGCAACAAAGGTTCATTAGGTTATAAGCTCACCTGAGCTTTTATTTTGTCTGTGGTCCATCTGTCTTTCTGTAAAATTTTCACATTTTAGAATTCTTCTCAAAAACCCCTGGGCCAGTTTTAACCAAAGTTGCCACAAATCATCATTGGGTGAAGGTGAATCATTTTTAGCTCACCTGAGCCAAAGGCTCAAGTGAGCTTTTCTGCTCACAATCTGTCCGTTGTCTGTCGTCGTCGTCGTTGTTGTCGTCGTTGTCGTCGTCGTCGTTGTAAACTTTTCACATTTTCATCTTCTTCTCAAGAACCACTGGGCCAATTTCAACCAAACTTGCCATAAAGTATCCTTCGGTGAAGGGGATTCAGATTTGTTCAAATGAAGGGCTACGCCCCTTTCTCAGGGGATATAATTATGAATGAGAGAAAAAAATTATGGCATTTTTAAAAAATCTTCTTCTCAAGAACCACTGGGCAAGGAAAGATGACACTCATGTGGAATCATCACCAGTTAGTGTAAATTCAAGTTTGTTCAAATCATGACCCCGGGGGGTAGGGTGAGGCCAAAATGGCCGATCAAAGTTTTACATAGGAATATATAGGAAAAATCTTTAAATATCTTCTTCTCAAGAACCACTGGGCCAGGAAGGATGAAACTCATGTGGAATCATCACCAGGTGGTGTAGATTCAAGTTTGTTCAAATCATGACCCCCAGGGGTAGGGTGGGGCCAAAATGGCTGACCAAAGTTTTACAAAGGAATATATAGGAAATATCTTTAAAAATCTTCTTCTCAAGAACCAGTGGGCCAAAAAAGACGAAACTCATGTGGAATCATCAGCAGGTGGTGTAGATTCAAGTTTTGTTCAAATCATGACCCCCAGGGGTAGGGTGGGGCCAAAATGGCCGATCAAAGTTTAACATAGGAATATGTAGGAAAAATCTTTAAAAATCTTCTTCTCCAGAACCAGTGGGCCAGGAAAGATGAAACTCATGTTTAATCATCCTCAGTTAGTGTAGATTCAAATTTGTTCAAATTATGACCCTGGGGGGTAGGGTGGGGCCAAAATGGCCGATCAAAGTTTTACATAGGAATATATAGGAAAAATCTTTAAAAATCTTCTTCTCAAGAACCACTGGGCCAGGAAGGATAAAATTCATGTGGAATCATCACCAGGTGGTGTAAATTCAAGTTTGTTCAAATGATGACCCCGGGGGGTAGGGTGGGGCCAAAATGGCCGATCAAAGTTTAACATAGGAATATATAGGAAAAATATTTAAAAATCTTCTTCTCAAGAACCAGTGGGCCAGGAAAGACGAAACTCATGTGGAATCATCACCAGGTAGTGTAGATTCAAGTTTGTTCAAATCATGACCCCCAGGGGTAGGGTGAGGCCAAAATGGCCGATCAAAGTTTTACATAGGAATATATAGGAAATTTTTTTAAGAATCTTCTTCTCAAGAACCACTGGGCCAAGAAGGATGAAATTCATGTGGAATCATCAGCAGGTGGTGTAGATTCAAGTTTCGTTCAAATCATGACCCCCAGGGGTAGGGTGGGGCCAAAATGGCCGATCAAAGTTTAACATAGGAATATATAGGAAAAATCTTTAAAAATCTTCTTCTCAAGAACCAGTGGGCCAGGAAAGACGAAACTCATGTGGAATCATCACCAGGTAGTGTAGATTCAAGTTTGTTCAAATCATGACCCCCAGGGGTAAAGTTGGGCCAAAATGGCCGATCAAAGTTTTACAAAGGAATATATAGGGAAACCTTTTAAAATCTTCTTTTCAACAACATCAAATCCATGCTTAGTGATATTTATATTGAATCACCTCAGGTAGTGTAGATTCATGTTTGTTCAAACCATGACCCCCTATGAGGTTAAAATTCAAGCCCCCCCCCCCCCCCCAAACTCAGTAAACTTTCAGTTCAGATCTGATATGTGCTTTTTCCTAGCAAATTGCTCATGTGTGCGATGTGGCCCCTGGGCCTCTTGTTGTTCAAATGAATGGCTATATGCCCTAATTAGGACCCTGCAAGGATTTGCGGGTGCCCTATAGTAATCACTCTGTCTGTCTGTCCATCCGTCATTCTTCTGTCCACAAATTTTCTTTTTTTTTCAGGTCACCTGAGTAAACTCAGGTGACATATTGCTATCTATTTTCGTCTGTCGTCGTGCGTCGTTCGTCATGCGTTAACATTTGAACATTTTTAGTTTCTTCTCTGAAACCACTGAACCAATCTCAATGAAATTTGGCATATAGCATCTATGGGTGAAGGGGAACAAAAATTGTGAATTTCAGATCCCTGCCCCCCTGGGGCCTGGGGGTGGGGCAAAAACCTCAAAAATTAGTGCAATCTTGAAAAATCTTCTTTACTCATGGATATCAAGCGGTTAAACTGTTGGTATGATTGTAATCAGCATTGAGTCCTCTACCAAAATTGTGAAATTCATGGCCCCAGGGTCAGGGGTTCTAGTGCTAGGGCGGGGCGAAACAGGATATATAGTGAACATGCATTATTTCTTTGAAATTCTTCTATTCTGTTTGTGGACATTAAATAAACTAACCAAGTGCATAGGTAAGTTGAAAATGACCGCCTTTTTCAAAATTGTGAATTTCATGGCCCCAGGGTTAGGGGTTCTAGTGCTAGGGTGGGGCCATATAGATTATACAGTGAAAATGCATAAATTCTTTGAAATTCTTCTTTTCTGTTGGTGGGCATTTAAAATAAACTAACCAAGTGCATAGTTTTGTTGAATAAGACTTCCTCTTCTCAAATTGTGAATTTAATGGCCCCAGGGTCAGGGATTCTAGTGGTAGGATGGAGCTATATAGATTATACATGTATGGTGAAAAATGCAATTTTTTTTGAAATTCTTCTTCTCTGTTCATGGGCATTAAATAAACTAGCCAAGTGCATGGCTATGTTGAATAAGGCTGTCTCTTCCAAAATTGTGAATATCATGGCCCCAGGGTTAGGGGCTCTAGTGCTAGGGTGAGGCTATATAGATTATACAGTAAAAATGAATTATTTCTTTAAAAATCTTCTTCTTTGCTCCTGATTATTAAATAGACTAACCAAGTACATAGTTATGTTGAATAAGGCTACCTCTTCCAAAATTGTGAATTTCATGGCCCTGCAGGGTTGGGGGTTCTAGTGTTAAGGCGGGGCTTTATTGAATATATAGTGAAAATTCATAAATTCTTTAAAACTCTTTTTTTCTGCACCTGAGTATTTAACCAATGAACTATGTACATAGTTATGAGGAGGAAGGATGCCTCTTTGAGATTTTTGAATTTCAGGGTCCCTGTGTTAGAGATTCTTGTGTTGGGGGGGGGGGGGGCTATACTGTTTATATAGTGAAAATGCTTGAATTCTTTTCCTTTCTTATTATGTATAATGCCAATGATCTTAGACAGAGGTACTTGGGGGTGGGGGGTAACATAGTCTAAAATTATATAATGCTTTGAAGTCTGCACTTTGGTATTAATCAACAGCATGATGAAATAAAATTTCCAAAATTTTGAAAGATGTGGCCCGAGGGTCAGTGGTTCCTGTGGATGGGGAGCTCAACTGTGGACCCGCCCTAATAGAAGAAGCCCTGACCCAGGGGCCATGAAATTCACTAAAAGTGGAAATGCATTTTCTCTTTGTTACTCTGATCTACCTCTGGGTTTTAAGTAACCAAAATAAGCATTCTGAGTGTATTATTATGATAAGCAATGGTGCCTCTTTCAAAATTGTGAATTTCATGGCCTCTAGTATAAAACATGAATCAAATTCAATTGTTGGAAAGTTGTCTTAGATACTCAGGTGACCTATAAGGCCCATGGACCTCCTGTTTCAATAATTTTTTTTATTGTTGCCCAATTAAATTCAAAGAATGAGGCGACTTGTGGCCCACTGTAAATTGACAAAAAATTAAATATAGAAATTTTATTAATTTTTATACGCCCGTCTTAAGACGGGACGTATTATGTTATAGGCTTCGTGTCCGTCCGTCTGTCCGTCTGTCTGTTAGCTTTTCGTTCCCGGCTCATAACTTTAATACTACTAGGCCTAGGATTATCAAACTTTGTCATCTGATGCATCTTGGGTAGAAGGTGTGTTGCGCACAAAAGGTAGGTCGCTCTGACCTTTATTTAAGAAGTTATAGCCAAATATGGAAAAATCCTTTCCGGCCCATAACTAGAAAACCATAAGACCTACAGTCATCAAACTTGGCCAGTTTATGCATCTTAGGTAAAAGGTGTGTCGCGACCTATTTCAAGGTCACTGTGACCTTTAATTTAAGTGATTTTTTTTTTTTAAATGTGTCTTTTTACTATTCATTTACACATCCCAAATAATGTAAGAGTATTGCACTGTTCTTATGAAAAAAAAAGTGTTAAATCAAGAAAATACTTATTTTTTTAAGCATATGCTTGACAGCAATCTATACCAAATATAATGTTTTTCTGAGAAATCCTGCCTCTCCCATGAGTGTAATTATCAAGCACTGGTCAAGAAGAATTTTGATAACAGAAAATTGCATGTCAAATTAGAGAGAAATTAATGGATTTTGAGTGCGAGGAGCTAGCATTGGTGTTATCTATATCCCTTGAGTATTGGGCAAATGGGTAAGCCTGTTTGATTAAAAATAGCTCTTGTTGACTAGCTTAAGTTTTAAAATGAATTTGATAAAAAGTAATTAAAACTAATTTGATATTGCATAATAGACTAATCTGATATTATGTAATATTAATTTAAAAACTAATTTTTTGGGATGGGGTGGAATCAGCATGTCCATATGAATTGCATATTAAAACCTGTCGGACATTAAATCTCAACCAAAAAAAATCTTTAAGTACCTGTATTTTATTAAATTTATAGTAGATAGTGCAGACCCATTCATCTCTTGGTAGTAATGAGTAGACAAGCATCCAGTTAAAGATTAATTAATGAGTTCAATGTAGGAAGGCTAGCTGTCTCAGTCGCTCTGATGAAGCGGTGACCTTATCTGTACCCTTTGGGGATTAGACAGAAGAACTGCTGGTCAGTTTATATCATGTGTCATTTGATGGCCAGCCTTTTCTTTTCAAAATTAAGTTGTTATTAAGACTAATTTGATGATGGGCATTTGACAAGGTCTAACACAACCAGCACAGAAATCTATAAGTGATGTAATATTTATTATAATTGATGCATACATCACAGGGGATGGATAAATATTTTGAGGAATGGAAAAATCATCGAAATCTTAGAATCACGGTTGATGTGATTTTCTTGCACCTAAACTGTTCAAGAAAATTGTAATTTTTTGATGGGCCTATCATGCTGTGGCGCTGCCCTTTATTTTGTATGTAACAAATCACTGATTTGTGTACCGTTGAAAAATGCTATTTTTATCAAAAATAGAAACGTGATTTGAAAGATATAGATCTTTTATTGGGGTAGGGGTTTCACGTTTACATCCATTGCATTTTAACCCCACCCCACTCTTTGAAGCCCTTAGAATATAGGTAGGTATAATTTTCTCCTTTGGCTGGTCACTCTATTTTATTGAAATCTACCTATATGTAAAAGAAGAAAATTGTACCACATGCTATTTGTAAAAAAAAAATTGTAAAATCTAGCTGGCCTTTCCCATATGAACAGATCGACGGAATTAGATTTTCTGACGTAAAAATAAATTCATATGCTAAACACTGACCAATCAGCTTAATGAAATTCGTAATGAGTGAGTACCACAAGAATACTTTGAGAACATGCTTGGAATTTTACTGCTTTCTGATAATTTTTTCTACTCATTTGAGTCACAGTTTAGACTTGGATCTACATAATTATGTACATAATTATGTACAATTTCCGAGATCACAGTAAAATTTATACATACATACGGTTACAAGTAATTGATAAATATGCATTAGTTTGAAGTTTTGTAACGTATTTGGTGAGCAATTCGCTAGGTCTTCAGGTATTCCCGAGTATCAGTAATTACAATTTCAGTTTAATGTGCATTTTTGTCCTAAAAACCGTAAGTGCTGAGTACCCATGCGTATTATGAAGCATAAATAGCCTAAGTTGACCATTAAGCGGTAAATTGAACCTAAACCACGTGTCTGTAAAAAAATGTAAACCAGCATGTATTGTCGTTCTGTCATCGGATTCGACATTGTCTATGTGCGAAATAATAGAAAAGCCATATAAGGTCTTATCGGACACATACATCCCTCTATTGTACTAAGACCAGCTCATTCTCCTGCCGTAGAAAAACATTCTCACAAACCTGGCTGAATTTAGCTGTGATAGTCCCCCCCCTCCAGTTATGGCAGGGCCACAAGGGACGATCAAAGTTTTACATGGGAACATATTAGAATGTCTTAAAAAATCTCAAGAAAGCAAAGCTATGAACCCCTGGTGTAGGACGGGACCACAATGGACGATTAATTTGTTTTTCTCAAACTTTTAAAGCCATTATTTTGTCAAAGAAATATAGTAACAATTACTGGTACTCGGTTAGTATAGATTCAAGTTCAAATCATACATCCTCCCCTTAGGGATAGCTTGATATCACTCATAAAATACTGAATTAGCCAAAGTGCTCTGGTGAGCAATGTGGCCCATGGGCCTCCTTTTTCCTAGTGAGGGTCCACACTTTTTTCAAGAAGAGATAATTCAGAAGTAGCGACAAATTTGGTGATATCTTTTGAAAATCTTTGCAAGAACCAGTGGGCCCAAAAATTTGAAACTTACAGCAAACCTTCTGAACGAAGTGTTGAATCAAGTTGTTCAAATCATGTCTTCAGGGAGCATTATTGTGACTTTTTTTATCCAACTTTTGGTGTTTTAGATCAAGTTGAGGGATTAAAGACATTCTTGAGAAAGGAGAAGACAACCGTGTCCCATGCCAGAGGAATACTCGTTGGATGTGCTGAGGCGGGAAAAACAACTCTACTGAAGAGATTAAGAGGGCAACATCACAATATCGGTGAAGTTACAGAGTCCACCAGGGGGCTGGAAGTCCATCAACATCTTTTCATCGTTAAAGATGGAATTTTAGAAGGTAACTGATACACACACAGGACATATAGACATTTTTTTGCTGTTTTACAGATTTTAAATTTTAGCTCTTCTGAGCTGAGCCAAAGACCTAAAGAAAACATACTCTGGCACCATCGCCCAAAAAGATTTTGAGACATGTGATTTTTTCAATGCAGTTTACATAAAATATGCAAAATTGTGTGCGATGGTGGCAGACACTATTTTTAAAGCAAAATAAGCACAAAAATCGGTTTTAACATGTTTAAGGAGCCTTTCTGTATTAAAATTAAAAATATGTATGACAGTAGTTTGATCCAAAGGGCCGTATAACTATCACATCTCTTTGACAGACACGGTTCATCAAATCAAACTTGACATTTCTCGTCTTGTTTGATCTAATGATCTGCGCCTGACAACTCAATGATATACGACTCTTCAGATCAAGTTACTGTTATAATGATACAAAAGTACCAGTCTATATTCAATGTTATTTATTATGCCCCTTTCGAAGGAGGGAGTGCATATTGCTTTGCTGCTGTCTGTTGGTCTGTCGGTCCACTTTAGTTTCCGTTCATTTTATTCGCAATCGTTGCACATATTGAAATGAAATTTGATATACAGGTATATCACATAAAAATCTAGGTAAATTTTTTATTTGGGCATGATAGCACCATTTAAGCCAGAGTGATGCCCCTTAGACTTAAAAAATTTCCAATTATTTGCAGTTTCCATTCATTTTCTTCACAATGGTTGTACATACTGAAATGAAATTTGGTATACAGATCTAGCAGATAAATATTTAGGTCAAGTTTTTTTTGGTACGATCGCACCATTTTTGACAGAGTGATGCCCTTTTGGACTTGGTAAAATTCCCATTTTGGGGGAGGGGGCATAGGTGTTTTACAAACATCTCATGTTTAAAAAATATCACATTCATTAAAAAATGATGAATATGAAAATATATCTGTGATTAATTGTAATGTTATTAAGTATTTTCTAGAGTACATGAACTTAGAATGTAAGATGATTAAATTATTTACATGTATTAACAGTAGCTGATGACGATTCACCATTGAAGACGTTTATCAGGATAAATGCTGCGGACCTGGTGCCAAACATTAGCGGTGAAGTTGACATTTCCAATCCAAATGAAAATAGAGACAATTCGGAACTGAAAAGTCCTGATAAAGAGAGGGGGGAAATCTATAGCCGAGAAGAAGAGAAAGTTGAGTTGCCTAGCCCACCACCTGAAGTCAAAGAAGAAGTCAATACAGTAGAGGTAATGGCCAGTGTTCTCTCCTCAGAAGCACAGAAAATGGTGAAGGATGAAATTTTTCAGAAAATCTTGTCTGAAAAAGAGAACTTACCAACTGTCAGTATGCTGGATTTTGCTGGTCAGTTAGCGTATTATGCCTGTCACCAAATTTACGTAACACCAAAGGCCTTCTTTATCCTTGTGTTGGACATGACTAAGAAGTTTGAGGATGTTGTCGATAGGGAGAAAGATAATCAAGAAGGATCAATCTTCTCTGTGTGGACTTACAAAGGTAAGGCATTATGTTGTGATCTCAGAGTTTTGTCTGTGAGCCTTACACTCATCAAGATAAAAAAAATATGCGGTAGAAGGCATTCAAACTTCCCAAAAAATGTAAGAGAAAATTTTAAAAAAATTACAGAAAATTCAAAGTTGGGCTAGGGGTAGGGGGAGGGGGGTAGTTCACTATAGCCATTATAAGCATCTATTTTTCTGACTGTTAACTTCACATTATTTGCAATATCTAAAGGGCCAGTAGACAAGTTTCAATTAAACTTTTTAGCTCACCTGAGCTGAAAGCTCAAGTGAGCTTTTCTGATCATATTTTGTCCGGCGTCCGTCTGCCTGTCCAGCTGTCTGTCTGTCCGTCTGTCTGTCTGTTTTCACATTTTCGACTCTTCTCAAGAACCGCTTAGCAAATTTCAACCAAACTTCCCACAAAATATCCTTGGGTGAAGGGGATTCAAGTTTGTTCAAATGAAGGGCCAGGCCCTCATTCAAGGGAAGATAATTGGGAATTCATGAAAATTTTGTGTCATATTTTAAAAATCTTCTTCTCAAGAACCACTGTACCAGGAAAGATGAAACTTATGGGGAAACATCCTGTAGATTCATGTTTGTTCTGATTATGACCCCCGGGGGTAAGCGGGGCCAAAATGGCCGACCAAAGTTTTACATAGAAATATATAGGAAAATTCTTTAAAAATCTTCTTCTCAAGAATGACAAAGCCATAATTCATCATATTAATATGGAAGCATGTTCAGGTTGTGTAAATTCATGTTTGTTCAAATCATGACCCCCAGGGGTAGGGCTGGGCCAAAATGGCCGACCAAAGTTTTTAAAGATATATATTATGAAAATTCTTTGAAAATCATTTTCTAAAAAATAGCAAATCCATGATTGGTCATGGGACTACTTATGGATTTAAACTTTACAATAACAAGCCATTTTCTTCTTTTTCCTACCCTTAGTGCTCAGGTGAGCGATGTGGCCCATGGGCCTCTTGTTACAAATTGTGGTGGGTAACTGAAGGACTAAGCCATCTTCTAAAGGAGAAAGATACATGTAATTAAAAATAAATGATCAATGAATGGCATTCAAAAAATGTTCTAAGAACCATTCAGAGTCGAAAAGGTTTAATCAGAAGCATCCTCTCAGAGTGAAGATCCAAGTTTGTTCAAATAAAGTACCCTAAGAGAAAAGAAGGACCACAATGGGCCAAAATAATCTAACAGCAAAATACAGGATTAATTAATAAAAATCCCTCTGTCTGGAACAGCTAGCATACTTAAGTTTTGATAAGTTTATGATGATTATAAGATTGCCTGATGGTTTGTTACATAATTATGTACTATTTGCTACTGACACTTTACACAGTAGTTAATTGTTGGATATAATTATGGAAGACTTAGTGAATTTTAAATTCAATTTCATAAGCAGTTTAATTTTCATTATTTACCAATGAAACATTTAGCAATTACATAAAATTAAAAATATCTCATGAGTGTTTTTACATAATTATTGAGCATTTTTGCATTTTTGTGAAAAGAAAAGGCCTGTTTCTCATGTTCCTGCTCACTGTTGTAAGTACTATAGAAGTGTTAGTTCTCGTCAATGATGTTTGTCTGTTTTATCCTATTACCATGCCCTATTTTTTTTTACAGACTACCTGAAGTTTTGGATAACCTCAATCAAGACATTTGGAGGCTCTAAGGCGCCACTGTTCATTATTGTCACACACACAGAAGGAACGTCTGCAGAAGTAAGAATTTGAACTGAAATGTAAATATTTCATACTAGATGTAAATTATAAGAATGAAGATAATTCATTTTTTCCCGGTTTAAAATTTATGCAGAACACTCTCTTTTGCTCATCTAAGCCAAGACTTAATTGAGCTTATCTGAATAAATTTGTCTCTCGTCTTTTTAGCTCACCTGAGCCGAAGTTACAAGTGAGCTTTTCTGATCACATTTTGTCCATCGTCTGTAAACTTTTCACATTTTCAACTTCTTCTCAAGAACCACTGGGCCAATTTTAACCAAACTTGGTCTAAGGGATTACTGCGTAATGGGGAGTTTAAATTCTAAAATAAAGGGCCATGTCCCCTTCAAAGGGGAGATAATCAAGAAAAGAAAAAAAAGGGTTGGAGGGCAGGGGTCATTAAAAATCTTCTCAAGAACCAGTGAGCCAGAAAAGCTTAAACTTATATGAAAGCATCCTGGGATAGTGTAGATTCTAAATTATTAAACTCATGACCCCTGGGGTTAGGGCGGGGCCACAATAGGGAATCAAAGTTTTACATAGAAATATATAGGAAAAACCTTTAAAAATCTTTTTCATAAGACCATTGAGTCAGAAAAGCTGAAACTTATGTGGAAGCATCCTGAGGTAGTGTAGAATTTTAATTATTCAAATCATAACTCCCAGGGGTAGGGCGGGGCCTCGATGGGGAATCCAAGTTTTTATATAGAAATATATTGGAAAAAATCTTCTTTTTAAGAAGCAGTGGGCCAGAAAAGTTGAAACATCCTGGGGTAGTGTAGATTTTAAATTATTAAAATCAAGATGGGGATAGGGGGTGAGGGGATAATGGACCACACTAGATATAAGAAGAGGGGAAATCTGGTAAAGAACTGCATCACAAAAGTTATTCAGGTAAGCGATATGACCATGGGCCTCTTGTTTAGCTTACCTGAGCCAAATGCTCATGTGAGCTTTTCATTTTCAAAATTTGTCCATCGTTTGTTGTCGTCGGTTTTGCCGTTGTTAGAGTAAACTGTTCAAATTCTCAACAACCGGTGGACCAATATCAACCAAACTTGCTACAAAGTATCCTTAGGTAAAGGGAAATCAAGACTATTCAAATAAAGGGCCACATCCTCTTCCAATGGTAGAAAATTATGAATTGGTGAAAAATACATGGCATCTTTTAAAGATTTCCTTCTCAAGAATCAAAGGGCCAGGACAGATTAAACTCGTGGAAGCATCCTCAGGTAGTGTAGATTCAAGTTTGGTCAAATCAATTACCCCAGGTGAAGGGTTGGGCCACAAAGGGGGATCAAATTTTAACGTAGGAATAAGTAGGAAATTTTTTTTAAAATCATCTATTCAAGAACAATTGAACCAGGAAAGATGAATCTCAAGTGAAAGCATCCTTTGGCAGAGTTGGCGAAAGAGGAAAAAAATCTGTTGGACATTATTCCTACAGATTGTCTAAAAAACACAAAATTACAGGACATACTAAAAATTTGCCGGACCAAATGTATAAACAAAAAAATGTAAAATTGAAATTGATTTGAGATTGAAGGAACTCTTTCTCGGTGGAGGAAGAAAATATCTGTTGGATGGGGACAATGTGCTAGGGCCTAGTAAATACAATGCAAAATGGATCATTGTGAAGTTTATAAAGACATATTAGAAATAAATCCTGTTGAAATTTCTTGCTAAACATTCGCTGAATCACGGTAGCTAGTCCTCAGATGATACATTTTTAGGTCACCTGAGTAAACTCAGGTGACCTATTGCTATCTGTTTTCGTCCGTCGTGCGTTGTGCGTTAGCATTTGAACATTTTCAGCTTCTTCTCTGAAACCACTGAACCAATTTTTACCATATATGGCACAAAGCATGTATGGGTGAAGGGAAACAAAAATTGTGAATTTCATGATCCCTGCCCCCCTGGGGCCTGAGGGGTGGGGCCAAAACCATTAAAATTAATGCAATCTTTAAAAATCTTCTTCTTTACTCCTGGACATCAAGCAGTCAATCTGTTTGCATGATTGTAATCAGCAATGAATATACTACCAAAATTGTGAAATTAACCCTGGGGTGAGGGGTTCTAGTGCTAGGGCGGGGCTAAATAAGTAGGTAGTGAAAATGCATTATTTCTTTGAAAATCTTCTTCTCTGCTCCTGGGTATTAAGTAAACCTTTTTTTACATAGTTATAAAGAGCAAAGTTCCTTACCAAAATTTTTAATTTTATGGCCCCTATATCAATCTGGTGTTAGGGCGGGGCTTTTACTTTGATTATATAGTGAAAATACATTATTTCTTTGAAAATCTTCTTCTCTGCTCCTGGGTATTAAATAAACTAACTAAGTACATAGTTATGATGAGCAAGATTGTTTTTGGAGCAGGTCTATTCCTAAGGAACTATAAGCCCTTCTTGGAACTAAACTTGCATGGATTATGCATCTAGGGATGGACATTACCAGACTTGCTCTGGATACTGGATCTGGCCTATATTTTCATTCCCAAGTAACTATAAGCCCTGCCTGAACCAAACTTGCATGGATGATGCAGCTAGGGATGGACACTAACACACTTTCTTCGGATGCTGGACCTGACCTACATTTTTATTCCTTAGTAACTATAAGCCCTACCTGAATTAAACTTGCATGAATGATGCATCTAGGGATGGACACTACCAGACTTGCTTCGGATGCTAGATCTGACCTACCATTAATCTGGAAAATTTTACGTCAATTTTATTTTGTGAACTCGGGTCAAAATAGGGTTCACTTGATTAATTTTTACATTTCAAAATTTTGCAAATTACCACTACACTAAAAAAATATTTTTGCAAATGCAATGAACTCGCAAATTTGCTAAAAATTTATGTACAGCAAAAATTTCCAGATTTACGGTTTATTGTCATTCCCAAGTAATTATAAGCCCTACCTGAACTAAACTTGCACGGATGATGCATCTAGGTATGGACACTGCTTGATCTGACCTATCTGCCTGAACCAAACTTGCATGGATGATGCATCTAGGGATGGACACTACCAGAATTGCTTCGGATGCAAGATCTGACCTACATTTTTAGCTCACCTCGACTAAGTCGAGATGAGCTTATGCTATACCCCCAGCGTTGGCGTCGGCATCCCAGGTTAAAATTTTAGGAGCAAGTCCATTCCCAAGTAACTATAAGCCCTACCTGAACCAAACTTGCATAGATGATGCATCTAGGGATGTACACTACCAGAGTTGCTTCGGATGCTGGATCTGACCTACATTTTCTAGATGAGTGACCAGGTTAAAGGTTTTGGAGCAGGTTCAAGTTTTTGGAGCAGGTCCATTCCCAAGGAATTATAAGCTCTACCCAAACCAAACTTGCATGGGTGATGCATTTAGGGATGTACACTACCGGAGTTTTTGGAGCAGGTCTATTCCCAAGGAACTATAAGCCCTACCTGGACCAAACTTGCATGGATGATGCATCTACCAAAGGACACTACAAAACTTGCTTCGGATGCTGGATCTGACCTATATTTTCCAGATACGAGGAAGTGACCAGGTTTTCCCACGTAACTTTATGTCCTGCCAATCCAAACTTACAGAAATGATGCATCTAGGGATGGACACTACCAGGCTTGCTTCCGATGCTGGATCTGACCCACATTTTCATTCCCAAGTAACTATAAGCCTTACCTGAACCAAACTTGCATGGATGATGTATCAAGGGATGTACACTACCAGACTAGCTTCGGATGCTGGATCTGACATACATTTTTATTCCCAAGTAACTATAAGCCCTACCTGAACCAAACTTGCATGGATGATGTATCAAGGGATGTACAATACCAGACTAGCTTTGGATGCTGGATCTGACATACATTTTCATTCCCAAGTAACTATAAGCCCTATTTGGACCAAACTTGCATGGATGATGATGCATCTAAGGATGGACACTATCAGACTTGCTTTGGATGCTGGATCTGACCTATATTTTCTATACAAGAGACCAGGTTAAAGTTTTGGGAACAGATCAATCCGAATGAACTTGAAGTCCTTTATTACTGCAGTATTAACAGTTATGAATTTTTGTTTGCACTATTCATGTTTTTCACGCTATACCCGTAGAAATGTGTATTTGCCATGAAAGGGGTTAAACACAACTTGCAAGAATATTGTTGCTGGGATGAATACTAAATATTAAGAAAATATGATGTGATTACTTAAATTGATAACATTCGTCGAGGTGAGCTTCGTAATCTTTGATTACCTATGTTTATTCCCTAGTAACTATAAGCCCTACCCAAACCAAACTGATCAAATTTTATACACATACAAATTTTCATGTTGCTTTACTTTTAATATATCCTTGGCTGGCCATTCATGTACTATAGACATATTTCTAGTTTGATAAGCAATTTTAAGGGTGCCTTTTTGAAAAATTGTGCAATCTGTGGACCTAGGGTCAGGGGTTTATATAACATTTTTGAATAAGTTTTCCTATTATATCACAAATGTAATAAGTTTCGCTATAAACCCTGAAAAATCACACCGGAAACAGTTATGTCCGGCCGGAAACAGTTATGTCAACCTCCGACGGAAGCAGTTATGTCATCCTTTCAATCACGTTCATGTGTTTTTACGTTACACATTTTTAGTTCGGGTTCGAGATTTTATGACGTCGGTTGCTAAGCAAAAGTAAACAACACAGCGTATTTCTTGACTTCAAGAATGCATTTTTGGATTATTTGTGTACATTTTAACGATTTTAAATGATTTTAAATTTTCTTTTAATTTTAAAAATGTCATATAACATATACCACATGGCTTCTCGGGCGACTATACAAGAATATTTGCCCCTCGATGACAGGAAAGCCCTGGAGTGTTATGTCACCCTCTGCCTTCAGGTCCGGATGACATAACACTCTAGGGCTTTCCTATCACCTCGGAGCAAATATTCTGGTATGTCACCCTCGAAGCCATGTGATATATGTATAATGTCACAGTGTTAGGGACACTACTCATTATTGCTGAATATTACTGATTAGTTGAAATGTGTTTTTGTTCCCCTACCCTACCTATGGGTATTAAGTAACAAAAGTAAGCAATTGCTAAGTGTTTAAGTCTGGGAAATAAATTTTGAAAAAAGTGTATAGTTATGATTAGCAATGGTGCCTCTTTCAAAATTGTGAATGTCATAGCATCTAGCTTAAAACATGGAGCAAATTCAATCACATAAAAGTTGTTGCATGATGCTCAGGTGACCTATAAGGCCCACGGGTCTCTTGTTTAATGAAGACGACTGAGTTGAGGGTGAGGCCACTATAGGGTATCAATTGAAAGTTAAAGATAGGAATAGAATACATAGGAGAAACCTTTAAAAATCTTCTTAAGATCAGCAAAGCCATGATTAGTCACAGTTATATGAAAGCATCCTCTGGTAGTGTAGTTTCAAGTTTGTTCAAATAAATACCCCTTGGGGTAGGTTGGGTATGGCAATGCACTTTGAGAAAATATTTCAATGTACTTTAAAATTGGACCAAAATCAAAACATTTCGAGACTATAAAAAAAAATTTCTGGACTTAGATTTTAGTAATGGAGAGAATTTGATTTGCTGCAATTATATATCTTTCAAAAAACATTTTATTCATGAACATGTATTGATTTACTCTCATTGAGAACAAGGAGAAGACGAGTAGAAGGTTTCTCAGCCCTATCTTTTCCATATACATAAGGATTGGTAAAAAATTTAATTGAAAGTTTTGGGGGATAAACCACTCTAAAGGTAAGCCCCAATTTTCAATGCGTACACTGTATATCATTTATATCTTTGCAAAAAAGTGGAGCGCCTGGGATTTGCAATACTGACAAAGCCATAAACATTTTTTTTTTCAAAGTGCGCTAATATGGTTGATATTAAGGCACTTTTGAAAAAAAAAATTCAAAATGTGTTGACTTGGTCCTTTAACGCACTTTAAATTTTTTATAAAGAGCGTTATTTTCAAAGTGCGTTGTAACCTTGGGGCCACAATGGGGTGTCAAAGTTTAACATAAGAGGAATACATAGGAAAAATCTCTTCTTCTCAAGAACAGCAAAGCCATGATTTGTAATAATTAAATGAAAGCATTCTCTGGTAGTGTAGATTCAAGTTTATTCAAATCATGCCACGAGAGGTTTTGATGGGACTTGATGTTCTCATGAGCAGCCCAGCCATAGTTACATGAAATCATCCTCAGATAGTGTAAATACAAGTTGTTTAAATCATGACCCCTGAGGTATGGGTGGGGCATTAATGGGCGAGCAAAGCTTTTAGAAGGATAATGTAGAAAAAAAAAACATCTTCTGGAGAACAGCAGAGCTGTGATTGTTTCTATAAAATTTATATAGAAGCATCCTTGGGTAGTGTAAATTCAAGTTTGTCCAAAGGATGACCCCAGGGTAGATTTTGGGTCACAATGGCTTATTAGGGTTTTATATAGGAATACATAGGAAAAGTCATCAAATTCTTCACAAGAACAGCAGCAGTTGTGTATAACAATCAAGAAAGATCAATTTCCGGTTATGCATTTGATGCAAATAATTCCAGTACATAGGTAGTAAATTGAACCAATTCAGGCAATAATTGATATTTTTATTAAAATATAAGAATGTGATTCCATGAGCAATTTATTTTTCTTTAAATTTACACTCTCATAAAATGCCATGATTGTTGATTAGCAACGATATTTGTTTTGAAGCAAAGGCTGTTAGAGTGAAAACGCAGATTGAAAATAATATTTGCCTACCAGAATTTGTGTTAATCTTTACTAACCTCGAAAATTCAATGTCCACCCTCACCATGCATCCTATCAACCGAAATTTGAACCTATAATAGTGTTTTATTTGACAAATATTCGAAGTAAATAACATTGCCTGTGCATGCAATAATTGAGTTGTTATGAAGTTGAGATTAACAAAAATTCTAGTCTTGTGAAACACAAAAGCCCTATCACCATCTGTTACCAATTATGGCCAGGCTAAAGTTTTTTTAATGCCCCACCATGAATATGGCCGGGGCATATAGTGTTTGTCATGTCCGTCTTCCGTCCTTCCGTCACACTTTGTGTTTACTGGTAGCTCTGTTCAAAGCTCAGTTTCAAAGAAACTATCCAAGATATTTACATCAAATTTCATATGCTGATAGATATTGATGAGAGCTATGCAACTGCATCAACATTTTTTGACCTTGACCTTTCCTTTGACCTCGACTTCACTTTTCTTAAAGTAGTGTTTAGCTCAGTTTTAAACAAACCATTCAAGATAGTGTTATCAAACTTCACATGTTGAAACAAACTTGCACGGATGATGCATGTAGGGATGAACATTACCAGACTTGCTTCGGATGCTGGATCTGACCTACATTTTCCAGATGAGTGACCAGGTTAAAAGTCAGAAGGTCAAGATTATTGGTATCCAATAAAATGTCTTTCCACAAAGAATACATATGAGAAGTAACAAAGCTGTAGCCCTAACCGCTCAAAAGTTATGGCTAAGGTTTAAAAAAGATTAAATGTAGTTCAAACTTTAAGGTCAAGGTCAAAGGATCAAAGGTCTTGATATCAATTGAAAGGTCTTGTCACAAGAATTAAATGTGTAAAATATAAAAGCATTAGCCCATACTCTTTAAAAGATATGGTTAAGGTTTGTTTTTAAAAGTAGTTCAAACTCAAGGTCAAGGTCAAAGGGCCAAGTTTCTAAGTAGCCAATGAAGCGTCTTCTTACAAGGATTACATTTGTAAAGTATGAAAGCTCTTTCCCTTACTGTACAAAAGTTATTGCCAAGGTTAAAGTTTTTAACATGAGTACATAAATCGCCAAGGTCATGTCATAAGGTCAAGTTTGGTTGTATCAATTTAAAGGTCTTGCCACAAAGAATATATATGTAAAGTATAAAAGTCCTATTATCTACCATTGAAGTAAAAAATTAAAAATTTTGTTTTAAAGTGGGTGCGAGGTCAAGGTCAAATGTGGTGTTACCCAGAGATAGGTCTTGTCATAAGGAATAAATATGTGAAATATGAAAGTCATAGCTCCACTAGATCAAAAGTTATCGGCAAGGTTAACGTTTTTGCGGACAAACAGACAAGCGGAGAGACAGACAGACAGACAGACAAAAACTATATACCCCCTAAACTTCGTTTACGGGGACATAAAAGAAAATTGCTCATGGTATCACATTCTTATATTTTACTAAAAAATATTACTTATTGCCTGAATTGGGTCAATTTACTACGTATGTGCTGGAATTATTTGCATCAAATGCACAACTGGAAATCAATCTTTTTTGATTGTTATACACAACTGCTGGTTGTGCAACTCATCGATTAGCAGGCGTGAATGATTGTTAATATAAAATCATAAACTCACAGTCTTTGTGTGATACAGTTTCACAGTAAACATTACCCTATAAATTAGGCCCCAACACTTTTTGCATCCTTAACAATGCTGCATTAGATTTTTAGGTCACCTGAGTCACTTGCCCTATTGCTATCCATTTTCATCTGTCGTCTTATGTCATGTGTTAACATTTGAACATTTGCAGCTTCTCCTCTGAAACCACTGAACCAATTTCAACCAAATTTTGTGTAAGGCATCTATGTGTAAAGGGGAACACAAATTGTGAATTTCATGATCCCTGCCCCATTGGGGCCTAAGGGGTGGGGCTTAAACCACTAAAATTAATGATTTTTTAAAAAATCTTCTATATTCCCGGACATCAATCAGGCAAACTGTTAGCATGAATGTAATGAGCATTGAGTCCTCTATCAAAATTTTGAAATTCATGGCCTTAGGGTCAGGAGTTTAGTGCTAGGATGGGGCTATATGAAGGATATGGAGATAACGAACAGTATTTAATCTCAAAATCCATAAAACAATACAAAACAGGAGCAGAGCAAACACAGACCTCCGAAACATCAGAGGTGGGATCAGGTGCCATAAATTATATAGTAAAAATGCATTATCTCATTGAAAATTTTCTTATCTGCTCTTGGGTAATAAATAAACTAACATAGTTATGACAAGCAAGAGTGCCTCTTCTAAAATTGTTAACTTTATGGCCCCAGGGTCAGTGGTTCTGGAGTTAGGATGGGGCTCTATTGATAGTATAATGAATATATACAGCAGTGTTAAGGTGGCTCTTTTGATTATATAGTGAAAATAAATTCTTCAAAAATCTGCTCCTGAGTATTAAACAAGCTAACTAAGTACCTAGTTATGATGAACAAGAGTGCCTCTTCCAAAATTGTTAATTTTATGACTCCAGGGTCAGGGGTTCGTATGTTAGGACGGGCCTCTATTGATAATTTAATGAAAATGCATTAGTTCTTTGAAAATCTTCTTCTCTGCTCCTGGGTTTTATGCCAATGATCCAAGTATATATATTTATAATGAAGAAAGGTGCACATAGCAAAATGGCAATTTTTTTTTTACCCCCTAGGTCGGAGGAGGGGAGATACATAGCCTGACAATAAATTAATGCTTTGAAATATGCTCTGTGGTATTGACCCCAGGGTTAGTGGTTCCTTTCGTTTGAGGTGCACAGCTGGTTGTTACATGATACTCAAGTAACCTATAAGGCCCATGGGCCTCATGTTTCTTAAAAGTTTCTAACGTCAGAAAAAGCATGAAAAAGTCAAAGTTATGGAGCAATTTTCACTCTCACTTACTTCTGCAGAGCAGCTTGGCAAAGTTAGTCAGATTAATAATAAGTGGCATCCTCAGCAAAAGTTGATTCAAGTTTATTAGTCTGGTTATATTATAATCCTTTGAGCGATGTGGACCATTTAGAGCTAGTAAATAGCCATAATATGGGATAAGAAATGTTTAGAAGTATAAAATCAAGATATACATGTATTTTTAAAATTATAGTTTAGAATTCATAAGCCAATTAGACTTAGAATAACTTTGTAGCTCATGGGCCTCACGTTGTATGGTTTAAGTATTTGTTTACTTCTTCAGGAAATAGAGAAGTACTTTGAAGACTTCTGGAATGCTGTACCAGACGAGGATAGAGATTGGTTAAGTGAGTCTCTAAATGATCGTGATTATGCAGTGGGTCTAGTTGAACTAAATGATGAAACAAAGACAAAACTGGAATCAATTAAAAAGTCCATAGTTGAACTATTTACAGAAGAGACCAATACAAAAATTCAAATACCTTCTTCATGGGCTTTAATGGAACAATTATTATATGAAGGAGGGTGGAAAGTCTTGTCCCTTGATGAAATCAGGAGGCTCAACTCATCCCTTCCTGATGAATACCAAATTAAAAATGATGAGGAAATGTCTAGCTTTCTAAAATGTTTCCATGACAATGGCATTCTTTTGTATTTTCAAGATGAAAAATTGAGGGAACATGCAGTACTTGACATTCAGTGGTTTGCTAAAGCTTTCAGTAAGATCATTGCTGATAAAAACCACATTAACAGAGACTGCAAAACAAGATTAATCAAAGAGTGGAAGTCCTTCAACAAAACAGGAGAACTTAAAGATAAAGTGGTAAATGCACTATGGAAAGAAGAACCTCTATACTTGAAACATAAAAGTGAAATTATGTCTTACATGGAGAAGCTTCAAATGCTGGTACCTTTGGAGTCCTCTGGGGCTGTATCAGAAGGTGACATGTCATGGTATGTCCCCTGTATGAACAAAAAGCAGTTTCTAGCCAACTTTTGTGAAGATAAATGGGAATGCTCCTCCATTTTGTGCTATCGATTCACTTCGTTTGCCATGTTTGTGTTCTACAGACTGGTAGCATACTGCATGGGGTTTCTGAGATGGAATGTTTCAACAGATGAAGATCATGAAGGAAGTCTATGTCTTTATCAAACAGCAGCAGTGTTTGATCACAATGAACACACTGTTGTTGTTGGCATATGTAATGATGATATACAATTGCAAGTGTTGCGAATCAGACCATTGGCTATATATAAAGAGGTAACAAATGAAATCGGAGACTCCATTCAAAATGCCATAAAAAAGTTGACAGAAACATTTATTGGCACAAACATTTTCCACAAAGGATTCAAATGCCAAAATATTATTTGTAATGAGAAAGATATATCTTTCTCTCTTGAAAGTGAACTGTCCAAAATCAAAGCTGAAGAAACGCAGTGCAAGTGCCAACTTCAGAAAAAACACGTGATAAATATACAAAGGACTCTGGGTTTCTGGGAAAAGGTAATTACATTTGTATAATATATCATTTCAAACCCGCTCCAATCAGAAAATCGTATTCAGTTAAATATTGTCAATGCGTATTTCTTTTTTTCTCCACAATCACATCTACAGAACTACATGTGACAAAAATATATATAGAAAATGCAAATCGATAGCACTTATGAACTGAAAATACCATCATGACTTGATTGAATAAAGGAAAGATGGTACAAACAAAAATGGATGCCCGGATAGGTATATATTTTTGGGCCTTTTTTCATTGAAAATGATGCAAATAGTAAATTTATAGAAAAAGAAATTATCAACCTTCTGTGATGTTCAAAATTCTGCCTCTCTGCATGAAACCATCCTAAATCTATACAAATACTTTTACTTCAAATCTGAGTTTTTGTGAAAATTTAAATGAAAAAAAAAGCTTGGTGTTGAAATTTGTTCTGTTTACTCATTAAAACATGACTCAAATTTTTATGTTCAATTTGTTTTTGACAAAGATTTGTTTGTATCATCTGTCCAAAATACTCATCGTAGGTCAATCTGGATAAAATCATTGTCACAAACAAATGAACATAAATATCAAATAGGAAGAATTGAGACCTTCTTCTGGTTCACAATTGTTATCACTATCTAACATTCTTTGTGTAAAGTGAAAGTTTAAAAAATGATATGGTAAATATTTTAAATTTGCACTACGCTGTAACATAATTTATCAGTCAACCAATTTAATCTTGACCGATATTATACACATTTTATCTTAAGGACATACGCAACGTACCTTACCTACTGATAGATTTCCAATATATTCCAAATTTAAACTTATAATATCATTACTTGTTCATAGTCAAAAAATCATGATGCCTTACCAGACGTTTTGAAAAGATATAGAATTTTGAAAATTTTTGCATTATTCAGAAAAAAATGTACAAAAATTATAAAACATGAATTTCAGATTTTTTTCCCTTCAAAAATTGTTTTACAAGAGGTGTAAAAATCCATTTATAGAAATTAAAAATACTGCACACAGGTCTTTCATTTAGTGGAACTCTTCAACTCCAGGGGAGAACCCCAAAAAGTTCAAACTACGTTGCATATGACCTTAACATCCCTTTCCTGTCCTATTATCCTACGTTTCCTCATTTAATTTAAAGCAATTGGCTTTTTGAGATTGACATCACCTCAATGTTATCTAGTTTGTTTAGAAATTGTTGACATGTTCTAAAACAACTGTGTTTTCATTTAGCGTTGACCATATTAGTTCAGAACTCCCCTTACCTGGGTTGATCATTGATAACTGGAGATAGTTTACTCCTTTAAGCCAAGTTGGCTAGTAACTTTGGTAATTTATGCACTAAAGAGTTTATTTAATAAATATTTTTGATAACATCTTTTATCTATTGAAATTGTAAAAGAGCATAAAAAAGAACATCATTTAACTATCATTCGTATATACATGTAACAGGTACTCATAGAAACTATAACAAGGTCATTAATTTGCTTAGGTAACATGAAAAAATCTTTATATTATTTATGCCCCCCCCCCCCCTTCGAAGAAGTGAGGGCATATTGCTTTGCTGCTGTCTGTCGGTCGGTCGGTTTGTCGGTATGTATGTCGGTCTGTCTGTCTTCCTAGTTTACATTCATTTTCTCTGAACCGTTGCACATAATGAAATGAATTTTGGTATACAGAAGAATATTTAAAGCTGAACACGATTCGTAAAAGAAATGTATCCGCCATTTTAGTTCCCCAGACTGGCTACTCTGCAGACCCATATAAATAGGGCAAGAATTAGAGACTGTTCAGTTTAATCAGTCGACACCGGTGTAGACGGACGTATGCTATACAGAACTTGGTAGCGAGAATAATAACGTAATACTTTGTCTAATGCAGGAAAGTAAGATACCAAATAAATTTACAATTATAGCTGTATAAGTCAGAGCAGTACACAAACAACATAGATAAATGTAACTGCAATAAAATATAAACAAATGTAAAGATAACCAGCACGAACACGGGTCGCCATTCCATGCCGATACCTGTGACAATAAAGCAGTCAAGTGTAACGAAAGCGACGAGTATACCCTAGTATTGATGTATCGTATGCCTATTTATGAGTCGTGTTCAGCTTTAAGTCAAGTTCTCTTTTATGTACGTTCAAACTATTTTTGACAGAGTTATGCCCCTTAGAAAAAAAAACAATTATTTGCAGTTTCAATTCATTTCCTCTGTAACCGTTGCACATACTGAAATGAAATTTGTTATACGGATTTTTCGGAAGACTATTTTGGTCAAGTACTGTTTTGGGTACAATTGCGCCATTTCTGACAGTTACCGGGTCTTTTGTAGGAATATCAAAACTCCGACAATGGATTCGGCACAAGTATTTAATAATGTGCATTAATATGACAATAAACCTAACTATAAATCAAACACTCTCTCACAACACAATACACACAAGACAAATACTTTACATTTAAGATTAGACATTAACAACACATAAATTATGTGATTGTTCGCTGTCGGGATTAATTATTGAAAGTAAAATATAAAATACGTTTACATGATAATTACAATAAAGGTAAACAGAAAGCTTACCAGGAATCCAGTTAATTACACTCCAAGTAAATACTTTGAAGATAACTTAAAATCAATATACACAGATACACAGTCTTTTACCGTAAAGGCAAAATCGTGGGGGTAAAGAATTTGGCGGGTACAGTGCTTATGTACTGAGTGCAGAAGTTAAAACATGCATATTAATTAAGTAGAAACGGTCAGTCATTGGTCAGCAGTAAGGTCACGTTTGGTCACCAAACCGGAAACACGTGTAAACAAAAGAATAACAATGTCAAATGATCTATCAAAACATTCACACTAAACACACACTCAAACAAACGCAGCGAACGAGCTTAATTGGCAATGCGCGCCAATTATTAGAACAAATTAAAATATAACATCTGTGACATATCCTTTTGGACTTGGAAAAATTCCAATTTAGGGGGAGTAGAAACGGGCATCAGCAGTTAGTCTTAGGTTACAAACATCTCTTAGAATAACAATATCACATGATCTCTCAAAGTATTCACACTAAACACACACTCAAACAAATGCAGCGAACGTGCTTAATTGGCAATGCGCGCCAATTATTAGAACAAATTAAAATATAACCCTTTTGGACTTGGAAAAATTCCAATTTAGGGGGAGTGGGGCATAAGTCTTTTACAAACATCTCTTGTTTGTTTTTAGCTCACCTGAGCCGAAGACTGAAGTGAGCTTTGCTGATCACATTTTGTCATTCGTCCGTCCGTCTGTCTGTCTGTCTGTCCGTCCGTCTGTAAACTTTTCACATTTTTGACTTCTTCTCAAGAACCTCTTCGCCAATTTTGACCAAACTTGGTACAAAGCATCCTTGGGTGAAGTGAAATTTAAATTGTTAAAATGAAGGGCCAAGTCTCCTCACAAGGGGAGATAATCAAGAAAACACAAAAATAGGGTGAAGTCATTAAAAAATCTTCTTCTCAAGAACCACATGGCCAATATGGCTGAAACTAATGTGGAGGCATCCTGGGATAGTGTAGATTCTAAATTGTTCAAATCATGATCCTCGGGGGTTGGGCGGGGCCACAATGGGGAATTTACATAGAAATATTTAGAAATTTTTTTTAAAAATCTTCTTCTCAAGAACCACTGGGCCAGAAAAGCTGAAACTGACGTGGAAGCATTGTTGGATAGTGTAGATTCTAAATTGTTCAAATCATTACCCCTGGGGGTTGGGCCACAATTGGGAATCAAAGTTTTACATAGAAATATTAAGGAAAAATCTTTGAAAATCTTCTTCTCAAGAACCACTGGTCCAGAAAAGCTGAAACTGATGTGGAAACATTGTGGGGTAGTGTAGATTCTAAATTGTTCAAATCATGACCCCCGGGGGTTGGGCGGGGCCACGATGGGGAATCAAAGTTTTACATAGAAATATTTTGAATTTTTTTTTTTTTAAATCTTCTTCTCAAGAACCACTGGGCCAGAAAAGCTGAAACTGATGTGGAAGCATTGTTGGATAGTGTAAATTCTAAATTGTTCAAATCATTACCCCTGGGGGTTGGGCGGGGCCACAATGGGGAATCAAAGTTTTACATAGAAATATATAGGAAAAATCTTTGAAAATCTTCTTCTCAAGAACCATTTGGCCAGAAAAGCTGAAACTGATGTGGAAGCATCCTGGGGAAGTGTAGATTCTAAATTGTTCAAATAATGACCCCCGGGGGTAGGGCGGGGCCACATTATTCATTACAAATGGGAAATCTGGAAAAGAACAATATGACAAAAGATTCTCAGGTGAGCTATTTGGCCCATGGGCCTCTTGTTTATATTTCTGCTTAGTTGTCTTCATTACAATTACTATCGTCAACTGTTTCAGAGAAAGTTAGGAGATTCTAGCAGTCAAATGGCTTCTGCCCAAGGGCTGGAGGGTCGATCTAGGTTTGCTAAACTTGGAATGGCAACAAACGATGTGTTGAATAAGGCGTACAGAGATATTCTTGAATCAGAAATACCTCCCTGCTATATTGAGAACAAGGTGAATACATTATCGACAAAAAAGAGAGGAGATCTAAAGTTGAATCCAGATCAAGAAAATCTTCTGAAAAAGGCAAATATTTCTGGATATAAGGATTTTGATATTTCATTAACATACAAGATGATAAGAAACATTTGTTCAACTATCCCTAAACCAACAAAAGGAATGTGGGGAAAAGAGCCTGCAGCAGTAGACATTACCGTTGGTGACGATATTGAGAGAATTAGGTTAATCCGAAACTCTCTGACTGCACACGTGAGCTCAGCCTCCACCTCTCAGTCAGAATTTGATGACACCTGGTCAGTAATGTCCGATATCTGCCAAAGACTGGAAACCTTCACTGGAAAGACGTACCTGGATGATCTTAAATACATTCAAAAACTGACTATAAAAGAGGAAGATGAAAAGGCTATTATAGAAAAGGTTAAAATGGAAAGTGACAGTGAAATGCTGAAGTCAATGATGTCAGATATCAAGGAAATAAAATCAGCAGTACTACAGCCTAAAAATATGGATCCCACTTAATAATATTACTCATAAAAACTGTTGTATATATGTGTTGTGTGTAAAATCACTTAAATGGAATCTACATTGAAACCAATTTCAGTTCTAAATTGACTTTTAAAGAATTTGAAATTTTTTCTTCTTATTTGACATTGTTGACAGAATAAAGAACATTGGATTGGTTGATTTTGATATCAAAGTTGTAAGCTATTGTTTCCAAAGAGTTTCTAATAATATTTTTAGCTCACCTCAACGAAGTTGGGGGGAGCTTATGTGATACCCTCGGCGTCGACGTCGGTGTCGGCGTCGGCGTCCCTGGTTAAGGTTAAGTTTTTTGGAGCAGTTTTCTTTTTAATTATTTCTGTGTCCTATACTGATTAGACATGCATGGAAGATGGTTTTAGTGTGTTTTATTGTACCAGACAAAGTTTCAGATGCTGCAATTGCAGCAAAGGAATTACCAGGTTGATGTTTTTGGAGCAGGTTAACATTTTTGGTGCAGTTTTTGGTGTGGGTTTCATTTCCAAGTAACTATAAGCCCTATATGTTGACCAAACTTGCATGGATGATACATCTAAGGATGCATACTACCATGCTTGCTTCGGATGCTGAATCTGACCTACATTTTCCGGTTGAGTGAACAGGTTAAAGTTTTTGGTGTAGGTTTCATTTCCAAGTAACTGTAAGCCCTATGTTGACCAAACTTGCATGGATGATACATCTAAGAATGCATACTACCGGGCTTGCTTCAGATGCTGAATCTGACCTACATTTTTCTGGTTGAGTGAACAGGTTAAAGTTTTTGGTGAGGGTTTCATTTCCAAGTAACTATAAGCCCTATGTTGACCAAACTTGCATGGATGATACATCTAAGGATGCACATTAGCAGACTTGCTTGGGATGCTGAATCTGACCTACATTTTTCGGTTGAGTGAACAGGTTAAAATTTTGGTGCAGGTTTCATTTTCCAAGTAACTATAAGCCCTATGTTGACCAAACTTGCATGGATGATACATCTAAGGATGCATACTACCGGGCTTGCTTCGGATGCTGAATCTGACCTACATTTTCCGGTTGAGTGAATAGGTCAATGTTGTTGGTGCAGGTTTCATTTGCAAGTAACTTTAAGCCCTATGTTGACCAAACTTGCATGGATGATACATCTAAGGATGCACACTACCAGGCTTGCTTCGGATGCTGAATCTGACCTACATTTTCCGGTTGAGTGAAAAGTTAAAAGTTTTTGGTGCAGGTTTCATTTCCAAGGAACTATGAGTTCTTTAATGACCAATCTTGCATAGATGATACATCTAAGGATGCATACTTTCGGGCTTGCTTGTGATGCTGAATCTGACCTACTTTTTGTGGAGTAGTGAAAATGTTAGTTTTGATGCATGTTTCATTTCAAATAAACTATTAGCCCTATTATGACCAAACTTGCATGGATGATACATCTAAGGATGCACACTAATGGACTTGCTTCGGATGCTGAATTGGACATACATTTTACAGATAGTAGACAAGGTAAAAGTTATGGTTGCAGGTCTATTACCAAAAACTATAAGGCTTATATAACATTGTATAAAACTTGCACAAATGCTGCATCAAAAGATGAAAACTCTCAAATTTGCTTCAGATGCTTGATTTTCATTACATTTTCATGAAGAAGTAGTTTAAATTTTTTATGTAGGTCTATTTCAAAGTATCACATCAAAATTGCTTTTAAAAATATTTTCATTTTTGGAATGTATACTTTTTGTTGGTTAATTGTGTGACTTTGCCTTACTTAAAGACAATATTCGTTGAGGTGAGCTCTGTAATCTCTGATTACCTATGTTTTAATGTAGTACATAACATGTACATATACATTGCAAATATTTTGATACATTTTAATGCTTCTTGCAAATACGCGAGTTTCGAGATTGTAACTCTCCTGCAACAGAGGCACAAAAAGTATCCATATCAGCAAGAAGGTGGGACAGTTTGTTTATTTATACAAACTTGCATATATGAATGAACGATGTTTATAGCTTTTAAAATTAATTTAATGCTATAGAAAGATAAAAATGTTAAACAGTGATGCATTTTATGATTTTATCAAGCTCACCTGTGTATATTTACATATCTACTTTCAATTATAGGGTACTTGAAAACGAAATAAATGTTGTGGTCTTTACAAAAGTAAAAGATCTTTTTGATTGTACATTCTCTAAAAAAGTTAGTGGGCTTTTTGAAGTTATAATAAGGAAAAAAATCAATGTGTCATTTAGATTGCCGATATGTTATGATCAGTTTCATGTTTACCGTATTTATTAGAGGTCCATATACCTCTTCCCTCCTCTGAAAAATCTCATATCCACTGAATTTTCTTTTTATTTCGATTTTTTTAACTTTAAAAATGTCATCTTTACTTTAATTCGGTTACTCTCGAGTTGAACAGTGCATCATTACAATCATCTTTGTAAAGTTTGTTAAGTATTACAATACATAAAAAAATTGAACATACAACAAAATGTATGAGGTGCATATGAAAATAATTTTGCTATTACACCCATCAAAATCATATCTACACAATGTTGTATGTGAAATGTTACGATAAACCAATATATCGATGATACGATATATCCAATGATAAATATCTGTCCCACCTGTTTGTTTACGCTGCAACCAAACTCCCCTCCTCAAAGAAAGAGTGCACTAAGGGTGATAATCTCGAAACTGGCGTATTATATGTTCTATAAAATGAATGTTTATAGTGTTAAATGAATGATTACTTATATTTGTTGAATTGCACTCAAAATATTGAAGATTGATTATGTAATTTTGTTTTAAAATTGCATTATTATAACGGTTCATGAGTTTTAGTTGACTTTGTTTACAATACATTGACTGTTTCAATTTCATTCAACCGTTCTTTAAAGACGCCCGAGTCAATTAGATGAGCCGTTTTAACTTATTTATCTATTTTTATTGCATATTACACGAATACTTTCAAAGTATGTATTTTGAATTATTCTGGCTTCTGAAATTTAACCAGTTTTTGTTTATCTATCTTTTAGCAATGGGTTGACCGACAAAATATACTCGGTATTTAAATATTGAAATTATGCAATAACTAGAAAAATATTTTACTCATGAACAGCAATCAATTAAGCTGTTGACATATATAATCATTTTTTATGGCAATAAACATAATTTGATTTTTTTTAAAATAACAAGCCCCTTTGGATGTTGGTAATTTTTCTCCTAGAGGTCTAAACCTGAATAGACTGTAGATCTTTATAGGAAAAAGTACTAATCCTTGAAAATATCAAACAAATTGACCTTTAGAAGAGAACATATTAAATTGCCACAAACGTGTGTGCATGTTTTTTGCATAGTTACTAGTAATTATATGTATATTACGGCTTATTTTCATTTTAAAATTTAATGTATTATTCTCTAAATGCCTGTAGTAGACAACTGTGACATTGATTTTGTTTGCAATATGAAATACGATGAAGATGCATATGGTTCGACAAACAAAAAATGAGAAATGGAAGTTAAATTATATCACGTACATTTTATTTCTTATTTCATATAATATTAAAGTGTAAAATCTCAACAATTTTCAAACCTCTCAAAAAAATTGTAATAGCATAAACAGACTAAAGAGGACAGAAAAAACATATATGACGATACGATGTGGTCTTTAAGTTCATTTTTTTTTATTTGAAAATAAATCCTTAAAGTTTGCATCAAAATATTCATATATTTTTTGGTTTTAAAAACAAGGAGCAAAACACGCTATGCCTAAAAGTACACTTTTATGACAAAATATTGGCATCTCTAAGTCATTTAGTCCAGAGTCATATCATGAATATTTAAATGCTGCTATTCATCAAAAGCTGTGTAATGAAGCACAAAAGAACATGTTACTACTGTATTTATATTGCTAAGATTCAAATCTCACGAATCACTATTATTTTATTTTTTTTTAAAGAATCCTAGATACCCTTACAGAAATTTCTGATAAGTGACTTATAAGTGATTTATTCTTTTACTTATAAGTTGTTTATTCTGGACTTACACTTCACTGATACATTTAACTATTTAGTGACTTATAAGTTACTCATTAGGATTTTATATGCAAATGAGCTACTTAACCTATAAGTGACTTATAAGCCAGTATTAGCCACTTATGCTCTATGCAGTATAGTCACTTATAAGTGACTATAAGTGACTTATAAGTCAAGCATTAAACCTTCATACTTTATCAAGTATTAGTCACTTATAAGTGACTATAAGTGACTTATAAGTGAAGTACAACACTACCTTTAAGATCTTAATTTAGAACAGAACTTCCAACCATTCAGGGGTTGCATGATATGTTCAGAGCTATTTTTACATTTACACATGTATCTGCACTTTAGATGAAATAATCAAGTAAAATAAAAATTTTATGGAAAAAAATCACTTTCATATGACATTTCTTTGATGATGCAAACTTAACATATTAATTCAGTTTACAAACAAGAATGTTGAACAAAAAGGCAACAATATTTAATGACCTTGAGGCTTAACTCTTCAAATTTATGAAATCTGAAAGCAACTGAGTCAAATGATTCAAAATTTCATGCAAAGGAAGTTAAAATAGAGAGATGATGTAAATAGAACCTACTTGTTGTACCTGATGTGAAGGTATACTCAAAATAAATCTAAAGTCTCCAACATCCTTTTACAGACACAAACTTGGTTTCAAATTCTTGTTGCTGATCTCTGGAGAGACAAACTCTCTGATTGGCTACCTTGAATACCCATAGTGCTCCTTGAAAGAAGTCTAGTATAGGGTAAAAAATCTAAGTCCACACTTATTCTTTGCTCATACCATACTGATCTTCACTTATAAGCGAGGTATAAGTGAAATATTCACTGATATGTAGCTCATCTTTACTTATAAGTGAAGTAATAACGAAATCCATTCCTCACTTATACTTACTTTGACTTATAGTACACTTATAAGTAAATTTCAAAATTTATATGTGACTTATAATAATAATAAGTGGATTATAAAACACTTATAAGTTTCTATTATTTTTTTCTGTAAGGGTATTTGAATTCTCAGAAAAGATTGTTTCTAATTACTTCATCTCTTTCAATAATGAGAACTTTACTTTAAATTCTTGATTCACAACTGAAACTTAGATTTCATGTATCTATGCCCATATTGTTCATGCATCCATCTTCTTTAACTTAAACAACTAAAATTGTATTTAAGTTAAGAAAAAAATGTATTTTAAGTCTAGGAATAATTGTAATTTCACTTATAAGAATTGTATTTAACAAATAAATATTGTACACTGTTTTAACTAACAAAAATGCATTTTAGTTCATGAAAATTGTACTTGAACTAGAAAAATGTATTTTGATTCTCGTTTTGTTTAATTTCACAACTTGCATTTAGAGTTAATTAATAATTTTTTTGGGGGTTTGTTGTTCGGCACACATGTACATCTCGGGAATTTTAGACACTCCATCAATTGCCAAAGGAAGAGTGTACTTTTTAGTTCACCTGAGCTGAAAGCTCAACTGAGCTTTTCTGGTCATATTTTGTCTGTAGTCCGTCTGTCTAGCTGTCTGTCCGTCCGTTTATCTGTATGTAAACTTTTCACTTTTTCAAATTCTTCTCAAGAACCACTACGTCAATTTTAGACAAACTTGCCACAAAGCATCACTGGGTAAAGGGGATTCAAGTTTGTTCAAATGAAGGACCAAGCCCTCTTCCAAGGGGAGATAATTATGAATTAATGAAAAAATATGGTACCTTAAAAAAAATCTTCTTCCTCAGAACCATTGGACCATATAGGGAAAATCTCATAAAAAACTTCTTCTCCAGAACCATTACCCAGAAAAGATACAACTCATGTGGAAGCATCCTCAGGTAGTGTAGATTCAAATTTGTTCAAATTATGACCCCGGGGGTTGGGCAGGACCAAATGGCCGATCAAAGTTTTACATAGGAATAAATAGGAAAAATCTTTAAAAATCTTCTCCAGAACCATTGGGCCTGGAAAGATGAAACTCATGTGGAAGCATCTGCAGGTAGTGTAGATTCAAGTTTGTTCAAATCATGACCCCTGGGGGTAGGGCGGGGCCACAATGGCTGATCAAAATTTTACATAGGAATATATAGGAAAATTCTTTTGAAAATCTTATCCAGATCCATTGGGCCAGGAAATATGAAACTCATGTGGAAGCATCCTCAGGTAATATAGATTCAAGTTTGTTCAAATCATGATCCCCGGGGGTAGGGCGGGAAAACACATGGCTGATCAAATTTTTACGTAGGAATTTAAAGGGAAAAATCTTC